ACAGCATGTGCAAAGTCCCTGAGGCAGGAAACAAGTTTGGCATCCTATAAACCATGTTATTAGGAGGGAGAAGTGACAATTGATAAAATTTAAGAGAGAAAAGACAGAAAGCTGTATTAAGAAGATGAACTATACAAGCACAGCAGTATGGCATTATTTAGTATAAGGGCAAATGAGCCTTCGTGCAGCCCAACAGCCTCTAAGAGCCTCACTGAAGTGCAGTATAGAAATTGATGTCTATAATACTTGGTCTTGAGTCACTGGGGAGTGGATGAATTATGTTTGATGAATTATGTAGTAAGGCATTTTAGAAAGATTTCCATGCAAGACATTAAAGTTTTAAAAAGTCATTTCTGTATTTAAAGACAGAACCTTCACCATCTGGAGAAATCACTTACTAAAAGATATGATTCCTTGATGGCCCTGGATAGATGACAGAAGAGTGTTTTTTCTTTTCTCTTTACTTGTTTATTACTTTTTCAAGCTTACTGCTTGATAGGGAGGTATTTGTAAAGTCATAATTTTACTAAGAGATGATCTTTATTTATTTTGAAGTAAATAGATGTCTTATATGTTAACTGAATGGGTTTTTATAATCCAAAAACCAGTGCTAAATAAATGTGAAGTTAATGGTTTACGGCTTTTCAATATTATCAACAGAACTCTACACTGCCTTCTCTACTGGACACCAATCGTTTACTTTTTTTTTTTTTTTGGTGAGGAAGATTGTCCCTGAGCTAACATCTGTGCCCATCTTCTTCTGTTTTGTGTGTGGGATGCCGCCACAGCATGGCTTGATGAGTGGTGCGTTGGTCCGCACCTAGGATTCGAACCCTGAAACCCCGGGCCACTGAAGCAGAGTGTGCAAACTTAACCACTATACCCCCGAGCCAGCCCCTCAATCGTTTACTTTTTTCCTTTAAGCTGCAGTCAGACTGAGACGTTAATTTAAAATCTTGATGGTATTAAAGCACTACATAATATTTTTAGGCCCTAGTGATTTTTGCCTATCCATTTAGCAATAGTTCTGCAGATACTTTGCTAGGGTTGCTATATTCTCAAATAGTTTCATTTACAGTATTTTCTTCATAATTAGTAAACTCCTTGAGGGTAGGAATCATGGATTACCTACTTGTATTTCTTCCCACAAGTACCTAGCATGGTATTTACAGTATATTCAATAATTTATTGACTGCTTAACTCATTGGTTTACTTCTTAATGTATCTAAATTTTCTTGAACGGATACAGTTTAAAGAATCTATTAAAATATTAAACCTAAAGTTATCACCCAAGTTAATGCAGTTATCGGTACAGTTGTCCAAGTTATTAAAGACCAAATGAGCTGGTTTATGGACCGCTCAGTCCCCTTAGTTTTCATTTTCTCTATCTCTTCCTCAGACCATTGTCATAGTTTCCTAGCACCTCCATCAGTGAACAATACAAGTGAATATAGATTCGTGTCAGAATTTATTATAAAATTTGGTGAAGATGGAGGTGAAGACTAAACATCTGTTGGAGAAGTATATGTGGATTGTAGTTAATCCTCTTTTCTCTCTGTTCACATGTATTTTTCAGGGTAAAATGAAGCAGTTTTTAGTTGACGCTACAATGCCTTTTGTGTTACATATGCCAAATTTTGTAAAGCATAAAAAATGTAGAGATCCCATCATATCACATTCATATTGCTTTTGGTGATTATAAATTTAGTAGTGTTTTTTTTATAGACTGATATGTTTGTTCATGAAGACATAGAAATAATGCTTTGAGGAAATTGGCCTATGTTACGTACCAACATCGTGAGCATTCTTGGTCTGATTAGACTGTATGCAGAACACCAAACTCATATACTACTATAACATTTCTGAAAACACCGTAAGTGTAAGACTGTCATTACTCCAAAAGAGACATACTTTGTCAGGTTATACCTTTCCAGAACTAAAGGATTGGGCTGTTGTGACTGGTGCTCATCGTGGTCTCCAAATGAACAGAAGTGTACAGTGACCATTAAGAATGTTTGATTCGGGCCGGCCCCGTGGCTTAGCGGTTAAGTGCGCGCGCTGCGCTGCTGGCGGCCCCGGGTTCGGATGCCAGGCGCGCACCGATGCACCGCTTCTCTGGCCATGCTGAGGCTGCGTCCCACATACAGCAACTAGAAGGATGTGTAGCTATGATCTACTGGGGCTTTGGGGGGAAAAAATAAATAAATTAAAAAAAAAAAAAGAATGTTTGATTCCATTGAGGATCATAAATTGTCATGTTTCTCAGTCTTTCTACTTCCTGGAGCGTTCTCCAGGTGATCTTACTTCACACGTTCAGTCTAGAGTACAAAATGTCTCTTAGTAGGTGACCAAGACTTGCTAAAATCGGCCTCTTTTCGATCTAGCTGACTGCCAGCTGAGGAAGAACTTCAGAGAGGAATAAGGCCTAATTTTGTTTCTGAGCAGAGATGTTGGATTTAAAGACTGCCTAAGCTGACTGGTTCAGTCATTTGGTTCTGCTTTTATTATTTGATCAATGTAGATTTTAGGGAGGGTAATAGGAAAAGAATTTTAGGCTTCTTTAGGCATAGTATGAAACTCAGAATTTACCAAAACTTCTGGAGTGCATGGTGAGTATAGGTCCAGATGCCAATATATGTTTGTTGGGAAGAGAAGGAGAAAGACTAAAAAAAAGTTATCGCATACTGAAGAATACAGATCTTTTCCATGTAGTCTTTGAACAACAGTCTGGCCAAAAGAAAGACACAGTCCATTTCTTTGCTTACTATCCAGATGGGAAACCAGGAAAGCTTCTAAATCTCTGTTTCTCCTCCCTACTCCTTGCTTCCACACCAAAAAAAAAGGAGAGAGAAACCTATAGCTTAAAATATAAAGGAGTCTTTTGAAGAAGCACTTTATGTGTATTCTTTATGGCATGATACTAAGGTGTGAAAAAACATTGCTTTTAAAAAAAATTGTCGTAAAACATACATAACTAAAATTTACCATTTTAGGGGCCGGTCTGGTGGCGTAGTAGTTAAGTTCGCTCAGCTTCGGCGGCCTGGGGTTCGCAGGTTCGGATCCCAGGTGCGGACCTATGTACCACGTATCAAGCCATGCTCTGGCAGGCGTCCCACATAAAACGGAGGAAGATGGGCATGGATGTTAGCCCAAGGCCAATCTTCCTCAGCAAAAAGAGGAGGATTGGCTACAGGTATTAGCTCAGGGCTAACCTTACTCACCGAAAAAAAAAAAATTTACCTTTTTTTTTTTTTTTTAATTTAATAATTATTTATTTATTTATTTATTTTTTCCCCCAAAGCCCCAGTAGATAGTTGTGTGTCATAGTTGCACAACCTTCTACTTGCTGTTATGTGGGACGCGGCCTTAGCATGGCCAGAGAAGCGGTGCGTGGGTTCGCGCCGGGATCTGAACCCGGGCCGCTAGCAGCGGAGCACGCGCACTTAACCGCTAAGCCACGGGGCCAGCTCAAAAATTTACCATTTTAATCATTTTTAAGTGTACAGTTCAGTGGCATTAAGTACATTTATGTTGTTGTGCAATCATCATTACGATCCATCTCAAGAACTTTTTCATCTTCCCAAACTGAAACTCTACCCTTTAAATACTGACTCCCCACCCCCCCTCCCCCAACCCCTGGCAACTACCATTCTGCTTGCTGTCTCTATGAATTTGTTTACTGTAGGTACCTCATATTAGTGGAATCACACAATTTGTATCCTTTTTGTGACTGGTTTATTTTGCTTAGCATAATGTCTCAAGGTTCATCCATGTTATAGCACGTGTCAGAATCTTCTTCCCTTTTAAGGTTGAATAATATTCCATTGTATGTATACACCACATTTTGTTTCTCTCTTCATTCATCAGTGGACACTTGGGTTGCTTCCACCTTTTGACTGTTGTGAATAATGCTGCTCTGAACATGGGTGTATAAATACCTGTTTGAGACCTTGCTGTCAATTCTTTTGAATATATATCCACAACTGGAATTTTTTGAGGAACTGCCATACCATTTTTCCACAGCAGTTGCACCATTTTACATTCCCAGTGCACAGAGTTTCCAGTTTCTTCACATCTTGGCCAACACTTGTTATTTTCTGCTTTTTTTGGTAATAGCCATTCTAATGCATATGAAGTGGTATCCCATTGTGGTTTCAATTTGCATTTCTCTAATGATAGTGAAGTTGAGCATCTTTTCATGTGCTTAACTTCTTTGGAGAGTCTGTTCAAGTCCTTTGCCCATTTTTTTAATTGGGTGGTTTATTTTTGTTGTTGTTCCTGAGTTGTAGGTGTTCTTTATGTATTCTGGACATTAATGTCTTATCGGATATATGATTTGCAATATTTTCTCTTATTATGTGATTTGCTTTTTCACTCTGTTGATTATGTCCTTCAGTGTATTAAAGTTTTAAATTTTGATGTAGTCCAGTTTACCTATTTTTTCTTTTGTTTCCTGTGCTCTTACTGTCATATCCAAGAAATCATTGCCAAATCTAATATCATGAAGCTTTCCCCTATGTTTTCTTCTAAGAGTTTTGTAATTTTAGTTCTTACATTGAGGTCTTTGATCCATTTTGAGTTAATTTTTGTACGGTGTGAGGTCAGAGTCCAACTTCATTTTTTTGCATATGGATATCTAGTTTTCCCAGCACCGTGTGTTGAAACCACTGTTTTTTTATGATTAGTAAAAACTAAATCTTTTTTGGTTTGCTGACTTGATATTCCATATCAGTGTAATATCTTCTCATAATCAGTTAATATCTTCTAATATTCTATTACAAGATCTAATAGAAAATACTAAATATGCATATCTACACACTGTTAAATTAATTGAGGCATCAGTAAACTGTGCTGGAGTGGTAGGTTATTCTATGGAAACAAAACATTGTATGTGAATTTCTCTCGACAATGCATTTGTAAAATTGGTTTGAGAAATGTGCATCTTCCTGAAAAATTTCTCTCAAATGAATACTAGATAGATATTTTTGTTTTGTTCCTAGGCCTGGAAGAGGAGATGGTTTGTGTTACGCAGTGGCCGTTTAACTGGAGATCCAGATGTCTTGGAATATTACAAAAATGATCATGCCAAGAAGCCCATCCGTATTATTGATTTAAATTTGTGTCAGCAAGTTGATGCTGGATTGACATTTAACAAAAAAGAGTTTGAAAACAGCTACATTTTCGATATCAACACCATTGACCGAATTTTCTACTTGGTAGCAGACAGTGAAGAGGAAATGAATAAGTGGGTTCGTTGTATTTGTGACATCTGTGGGTTTAATCCTACGGAAGAAGGTAAGTTCAAGACTTTGTTTTTCAACCCGAGTTCTCCTTTATTACTACTTTTTTAGACCTGTTATAAAATTCTTTATTTCAGTTATACAATATAATATTTGTTTTATTTTTTTATAATAGTAACAGCATTTGGAAAAAGCACTAAACTCTTTAATCAGTTTGGGGAAAAACTTTTTATAGGTTTTAGAAAGAGAAACTTAACCATTAGGAGGCAATGTCTGAATAAATGTCCTGGAGAAGAAGGTAACACGAAGACATACTTATTTAAGAGCATTTCTTGAGTTCCTATCTAGATATTAAGTTGAACCTTACAACACTGCTGATATTTGACTATTTTTGTCCTATGAAAAACAGCACTTTCATGTGGCTCAACTTAATTCTTTAGGTGTTACTTTTAAAACTATATTGGATTATGAAGTCATGAAACTGCCAAGGCAACTATCAGTACATATGAAAAGAAATGAGAATCAGTCACGAAATGTGATGAAAAAGTGACAAACAAATGAGTTTACTTAACATAGAAGTTCTGAAAAGAGCATGGAGGAAGAGGGGGCTCAAGGTTTGGATAAGAAGTAGTGAAGAAAAGCTTCTTGGAGGAAGACAAATTGTAAATTGCAGGCTTCTGAAAGAAGTAGTACTTCTGCACAAATGAAAGGAAGGATGCAGAAGCCTCCAGGCTTAGGGGCCAGGGAGAGAAAGGACCCAGAGGTAGACTAGAATTCTACTTCACTGGAGCAGAGGGCTATGAATGACAAAGGCAAGGGGAGAGTTGCTTGAGGATCTGATATTTGGGGCGCCTATCCTGGGAAGAGCTGAGTGATTAGAGGTCTCCAGAAGAGTTTTATAAGTGGAATTCCTCTTTAGATGCTTTTATATAGCTGTCCTGACCACCTGTTCCCTGTCCACTTCTCTACTTTTCTTCCTTTTTAAACAAACACTAAGAACCTATGTAGGCCACTCCAATACAAATTTAGGTTTGTGGAGCCAAGAGTCAGAAATAAAGGCAGCCTGAAGTCTTTGACCTTATCGTTTTCATGGTTATACTCATGTTTACAAGTGTGCATTTCCAAATATCTATATTTAGGAGTCCCCGCGATTCAGTGAGGGGTGGAAAAATTGTATTAGCCATCAACATCCAGTTTTGGATTGAAGTGAAACAGTAATCATCTCTAATTAGCTCACGTCAGCATGCTGTTTCCTTTCTGGCCAGTCAGCAGCCCAGGAGAAGGAGCCTTCCAGGGCTGGGATGGGCCCAGTGGGGTGGGGGAAACCCCTTGGTGAGGGAATCCAGAATGCCCCCAAGGGGGCGGGCCTAAGAGGGAAGGAGACATCCAGTTTAGACAGGAGGTGCCTAATGAGCTAGAGTTTGTCAACAGAGCTCTGGTGATTAAAAGCCTCAAGAAATTGCTTCATGTGTGGAATTAAGGCTTCAGTTGTTTCTGTGAAGTTACTAAATATGTTCACATTTTAAGTGGGCACAGGGGTATTATTTCTAACTCCAGTTAAACTTCTTTCCTTTCTTGTTTGCATATAAAGTCTATATTTGAGTGCAGTGGAAGATTTTAAAGTCACAAACCAGATAGCTCTCTTTTTAATGGTTATTTAACAGCCACTCGGTAATGATAATTATTGGGTTTAGACACCACATTAGTTTCATTATGTGATGGATTTTCAGTTAAAAAAATATAAGCTGTGTAATCTTTTTCTTGATGTACTTTTGCGTGCTACCTTTTCAATTTAGAATTTGTTTTGGGGGGACATAATCTGTCCCCATTGGTTGCCTGTATAGCTTCAGCTGATCCGAAAGACTGATCTGAAAGACTAAGTAGTAGGTGTTCCTCTGCCGGTCTGTTTTCTTTGTAATTCTTCTAAATATATTTAACAAAGGAAATGAGATGCTCTCTGAGAGGAGGCACATTCTCCAGTCAAGGAATATGAATGTCTAATTTTTGGAAGCCCATTTAGGGGTGGGTAGAGTTGAGAACCCCCAAAGTAAGAATATCTAATGCTCAAGCATCCCAGATTAATTTTGCAAATGTTAAGACATGGAGTCTGGTCCATTTGTCCACCTTAGAATGGGTGGACATTCTCCTCAGCTCTGGGAAGAAGAAAAGTTGTGTCTACTTCAGAAAATTGATTCATTAATTTACCAAAATTTGAGTTTGCCAGCACTCTACCAGGCTTTAGAGATTCATTCAACCAGTATATATTAGGTGACTAGGTAGGGAGACAAATGGCAAACATTACAGACATGAAACTGAGCATCTAGAGGGAGAGGATTCACACCCAAAATAATTCATTACAGTCGTTGATGATTGCAAGTTATATATATGTGTGTGTGTGTGTATCCACATATATAATAATCATACTTTAATGTATTAAGTATGATACTGTGGGAGTTTGTAAATACAGTTCTTAGAGCTTACAGTCAGACTAATAGGAGAGACAGGCAAATACCGCTTGATAAGTGCTTGGCTAAAGAAAAGATAAATAAGCATAGATAGCAGTTGATTTAGTCTTAAGAGGGTTAGGAAAAGCCTAGGTGGTAGTAAATGGCTCTGTGGCTATAACTGATAATGCACTGAGAACTTTATTCTTATACTTAGCAGAACATTTTCGTTGATATCGGTAGTCAGAATCGGCCGGCCGTGTCTGTTTTCACTTTATAAAGTTACTGGTATAGGGAGGGGAGGAAGTTTCAAAACTTGAAAGCTACAGTGACTTTTTCAGTGGCAAAACTCCCAAATCCTTATAAAATGGATTAGAAGTGTTTTTGCCTTGAGTGAAACTCTCAATTTATGAACTTATTATCTTCACAATATCCATAAAATGAGAGACTGTAAGAAAATTAATAGAATGGTTAATCAAATTTGATATATATAATCTGAGTTAGCTACCAAGAACAGCTATGCTAATCACAAATCATTTTTATGTGTTCATTACAGCAAGCCCCTATGGACCTCAATTTGCCAGTGCTTTCTAAATTTAGTTCATGAGCTATATCTAAATGCAACTGCGTTTATTTTTTAAATTCTACAATTTAGATTTTTCACAAGTTCATCCTGGCCATCTCCCAAATAGCCACAGTTAGAAATGTCTTACTATGCTATGTCGAAGACTTGAGTTTCTTGGAATAAATCAGTTAAAGATAAGCAGTCCTTCATTGTGTAGTATCAGGGAGCCACAAAAATATTTTATTTTACTCTGTAATTTAGGTTTTTGATGCATAGTAACAAACGTGCAAAAAGGCTTTGAAGTCTACCTCTGTATTTGCTTATTCACTTATAGTAGCTGACTTTGTTAGATGCCCTTTTTTTAAATCTGCACATTTAAAGATTTGCATCAAATTCTAAACTGCAGAGAACTGCTATTATCCTTTGTGATCACATTCATACAGTTTAATAAGACAAGGTAGATACCAAAAAGTCTTTGCTCTTCCATTAACTTTACTACTTGCTTTATATTCTCTTGCTTCCAAATAGATCTCACGTCAATCACTAAATAATAGGTGTTTTTGTTTTTACCTAGATCTGTCCCCTGAGCCCTGTGCCCTTCCCATTTCAGAGAGCTGAATGTGCTCCCACTCTTGGCTTAAAACTAATAACACGAAATGATTTTTCACTACACTAGTGTCAGGCTAGACGTAGGAAGAAATAGGCTATGATCGGATACTGCAGTCTGAGAAAATAACTATCCCAATCCCTATGAGAATAACTAATTTTCTCCTGAAAACAAAAGGAAAGGGGAAAAATCTGACCTGTGTTTTGATTCCAGGAACCTCTCAAAATATCGTTACCATGTTATTTCCGCTGCCCCAGGTGACCACTGCTATTATTGAATACTCAGAATGCTGGCAGGCGGAATCTGTTTTTAAATTCTAGCTCATTGAACTGTGTGCCGTTCCTATGAATGCTTTTATTTAGTAGATTTGAAGGTAGAAACTAATTTCTTTTGTTTTTCTTGGAAATGTGCAGATTTATTTTTGTTTCTACACCGAGGTGGAAGCTGTTAAATTTGCTAAATAAGCGCCGGGAAGCACAGCCTGAGGGCCGTAGCAGCTGACTGACTTCGCGCAAAGGCTTCTGGTCTAATTTCAGGAGGCAAGATTAGCAAGTTGCCTCTTATCATCAGAGGAGTTACTTTTCTCAAAATCCCAGATAATAGTGCCTTTACAAAAACATCGTGATTCTGTGTTTGATATTCTTCCCTTTAGAAAAGTAGATAAACTAACATGTAAGAATATACATATGCTCCCTTTCCTGTAAAGAAATGCTTCTTAATTAGAGAACTTTTAAATTTCTCTTATTTACTTTTTAATTCAGGTATAACTTACTATTTTGAAAGGCACAGATCTTAAGCGTACAGTTCAATATAGTTTTATATATCTATCTATATCTATACATAGAAATAGAAATCTGTGTAACCGCCACTCAAATCAAGAAATGGAACATTTCCAGTCCCCCAGAAGGTTTTCTCATGCTTCTCCCTAGTAAAAAAACCAGAAAAAAGCCCAAATGTAACCATTATTTTGCTTCTGTCACCATAGATTAGTTTCACCTATACTTGAACTTATATATAAGTAAAACTATTGAGTTTGGCTTCTTTTTTTGGTATTAAGTCTGTGAGATTCATGCATGTAGCATGTAGCAAGAGTTCTTCCTCATCCTAGGTAGCATTCCATTGTGTGACTGTATCACAAATTATTGATCTGTTTGAATCCTGATGGACATTTGTGTTGTTTCCAGTTTTTAGTTAATGCAAATAAAGCTGCTGTGAACATTGTTATATGTCTTTTGATGGACATGAACAGTTAGTTCTTTCGGGTATATACCCATGAGTGGAATTGCTAATCATAGGATATATATGTATATGTTTAGCTTTAGTAGATTTAGTCTCTTTAGTTTTCCAAAGTTATTGTACCAGTTGCTTTCCTACCAGCAATGTATGAGACTTCCAGTTACTCTACATTCTCATCAACATTTGATATGGTTGGTCATTAATTTTAGCCATTCTAGTAAGTGTGTAGTGGTATCCCATTGTGGTTTTTTTTTTTTTTTTTTGTGAGAAGATCAGCCCTGAGCTAACATCCGTGCCAATCCTCCTCTTTTTTTGCTGAGGAAGACTGGCTCTGAGCTAACATCTATTGCCAATCCTCCTCCTTTTTTTATTTTTCCCCCGAAGTCCCAGTAGATAGTTGTGTGTCATAGTTGCACATCCTTCTAGTTGCTGTATGTGGGACGCGGCCTCAGCATGGCCGGAGAAGCGGTGCGTCTGTGAACGCCGGGATCCGAACCCGGGGCCGCCAGCAGCGCAGCGCGCTCACTTAACCACTAAGCCACTGAGCCGGCCCCCATTGTGGTTTTAATTTGCATTTTCCTGAGGACCAGTTCAACCAGAGAATTTGTTCTATTTTGTTTTGTTTTGTTTTATTACACATTTTCAAGCAATTACCCTTGAGATCTTGATTCACTGAGTCTCCTGAAGTGGGGCCCAGGCACCTAGATTTCTAGGTGTGATTCTGATGCTATGACATCTCTGGATAAGAATTAAGGCATTAGTCAGCACTTCCTAAGGGTTTATTTTAAAAGTCTCCAAGAATATTTTCACAGCCTGTTAAAGAGATAGTCATGACAAATAAGAAGATAAATTTTCTACTTGAAACACATTAAGTAGATTGGTCTATGATTAAAGGACTTCGATATTTGATTAAATAAATTGAAGAAACTGTGCAGGTTGCTTCACTGAAAATTGCAACTACTGCTGTTTCTTGTTTGTATCCACTTGGTAGACTTACCTTTATAAAATGTTCTTCCATAAAAAAATGATGTGTTCAGAAGTGAGAAGATGGTTATTTTAGCATTAATGATAACGCATACTCTTTGCGGACTCTTATTTGGTAAATTAATTAGATATAGATCTATTTGAAATGCTTCTCATTACAGAAAAAAAAATCTACAACAGACTAGCTAAATCAGTAACCAGTGGAAACAGAATAAACTTGACCAATTTACCTTTCATTGTGAACATAAAGGTAAAACTTTTGCAATAGAAACCAACAAATATTCTATCAGCAAATGTAGCCCATCCTCAAAAAAGAGGCTCTCATCTGGTCCCCTGACAAGGACGTGAGCAATAAGACAGTTTTATTACCACATGCTCAGATGGCAGTATGTTGTTAGTCACAAAATCAGAGGACTTATCCCATCAACTTTGAAATATTCTGCCTTACCAATAAGAAAGAGTAGAATTGCTTCCCTGCGCTTAAGCTCTTGTGCCATTTGGTTAAAAAAAAAAATTATTCCAAATGTTTAGAGACATCGTCTGGGCACTTCACCTTCTGTGAGGGACACTACCACCAGGGCATTATGGTTCCAAATAGGATAAAACTGGGCATGATGCTACGGATCGTGTGGACCAGTTTCTTATTTGTGGTTCTCCTCGTAATAAACTACTTCTCTTCACTGAAAGATCATGAAGGCTTTCCTTAGCAGGACTTACTGGCTTTCTAAGTAAAATTCAATTCAGAGTTTGCTCCAGCAGCTCATTAGACCTTTAATAGATGCTAATTGTCCTCCTCATGCCTTCTGAATTAAGAGACAGGAAATCATTTTACACACAGAAGAAAACCCTAAACTGATGTTGAGTTCTCAGAAACTTGATACCAGTGTTACTTAGAAAGAGCAGTAAGTTAGAAACCCAAGTGAGGCAGAGAGCAGCCAGCATGGTCTGCTCAACTACTTGTAGGGTAGAATAGGGGCAAATCACGTCTTTATAAGGTGGAACAGTTGGTTAACTTTTGGCCAGAAATTTTATGTTAGAGAGTATTTAGACCCAGTGCAAATACTTGCATTAAAATATGCAGAGCTGAGTATATAGTCAAATTAACATGAGTAGAATAATCCCAAAGACTGCGGCTTTGAAGAAGTGCATTACCTGAGCCAAAGTGGAAAAGCAGTGTCCGTTTCCCTTTAAAGTCCTCTGTGTGCCGTGTTGTTTGGAATGGTTGGGTTTGCTTTTCACGGCTGTTCGAAGAACTGTTCTTTCGTGAGGTTGCTAGTGAACATAACGGAAATTTTTCTCTAGTTCTTACCTCTTAGAAGTGCATATTTCTTCCCATATTGTGAATGAGATGTTTTTATTTTATTTTTTTAAAGAAGCTTTGAATCCCAGGCCTCTTGAGAAAATTGAGAGGATCTTGCAGCTATAAAGAGGGTAAAACAGTTTCACCATTCACAGGTGGGAGAAATGGAAGGTTAAAATGAGATGGTCCCGTTGTGTTAAAACAAGATCAGACAGACATGATTGCCTGGCTGGGTGATTTTTTTTCCCACTTAAGATGGATCGCTCAGTTCATTTAGTTCTTGCCATCAAGTTTAGAAAAAATATTAAAGGAAAAGTGTATCTCTAAAAACAACCACCTGGAGAAGTTATTAGGAGTTAGAGTAGAAAACTAGAATTTATACTATTTTACATAGTGATATATTTCCACTATTTAGTTTCATTTTGTTTTGGTCAGAACTAAAAACTGAACTAGATTATACAATTTTACAGTGCCTCTATGGTAGAGGAAATGAGAAGTCTATAAAATATGCAGTATGCTTGTAAGTACAACCTGTCGGATACATTAACTGCTTTCTGATCTCTCTGATTTTTTTTCCTCAATGTTGTATATATTGTTTTTAAGCTCTTCTTTAAAAGATAAATATTTTTCATAGTTTTCTAAAGTTTAACAATCTACCAAGATTTACTCTGAGTCACTGCTTGATCTATGGCATTTTAAATCCCCTTAAATAAATCTCTGTATATTTGCAACTGAATCAAAACAGTAAAACATTTCATAGGGTACCTTATATACACTTTATAATCAACATCTATTAGACATGAGGTGTTTGAGTTTCCACTGAAATTATGGATTTATGTTGTATAAATGTCCAAAAATTCATTTTTTTATTCTCACTATTTTCTGTTCTCGTCTTTCAATAAATAAGAAAGAGTTAATTAATTAACTCCTGGCATAAAGTGTTAGATTTTGTTAGATGAGCTTGTATGAAGACTCTACATTGCATGACAAAAATAAAACATTAGCAATGAGCTCAACTGCTGTTTACTCAAGCCAGATTTTCCAGGTGAAAGAAGTTTTCAAATTTAATTAACGTCTAGTAGGGCTCACAAATTTCTTGAAGAGCAAATTCCAAGCCACACATGTGGGTGAATGGGTCTTGCAGATGTGAGAGTGCCTCTTGCTTTAATTTCTTCCAATCTGACATAAAGTGCTAAGTGAGTTTCTGCTGGATACATGAAACATGTTTGAGCGTCTCCCACATGTAAGGCTCAGTGAAGCATAGGAGTTCTGATCCTTTTTGTTTGTTTTGGGGACCCACAATTAAAGATAAACTGTTATATTTAGCCATATTAGTGTGTTACTATTCAGGTTTTACAGTTAGGATATGAACTTCTATGCCTAGAAAAAAGAGTTGTAAAATGAACTAGGTAACCTTCGCTGTGGTGCATGTATGAATGTTAAATAAAGCTCCTAAACTTCTTCCATAGTATCTAGAGAAGACAGAGCTGACATGTAGCTCCTCCCTGGTGAATTAACAGGCCAAATGTCCTGTGTTTGATTCCACTTGGTAGAACATACTAACTCCCTTACCATTTTTTAGCATCTTTTAGGTAATGTTTTGTTGTCAAAACCCCAGTTTCAACCCAGCCTTTTCTGTTCCAATTTGTTTATTCATATACGAGCATTTACCTTTTCCTGGATTTATAGCCTTGTATTCCTAACCAAACTCACAGAGAATTTTTCTTCTGGGCCCTTAAAAATTTACTTGGTTGTGTCAATGATTACAGTGGGATTTTATTTCTAGGTTTTCAACTTGTTTTCAAATTACTTCATTCTACACAATTTTACTATTTTGGTATGTCTTCTCAGAGCATAGTTATGTGCTTAATAAATTACTTCTTTACTTGATGACCACTTTTGCTTGAAAATAGTACAGAAATCCAATAAATGACAAATGAGGCTATGAGCTAAGGGGAGAGGTGATGCCTTAAAGAAAAGCTCTTTCTGTGGACATAAATCACAGAATTAGAAATATTTCTCCCTAGTCTGCTGAGACATGGAAAGAAAAGAATCAACAGTGAAATAAACATGGGATAAAGAGCTGACTTTGGTGTTCCCAGCACCATGGGCCTACAGATGACATGTAATAAAATGGGTCTCCTGGGAAGCTTGGCTTGGCTTATGAAGCACTTGTTTATTGTCATGGAAAAAAATCTGCCTCTTACGCCAAGATTATAGAACATCTTCATTCCCATTAGCCTCAGAACTAAAGACTGTTCAAGGCAAGGTTAACCATGACTTATTCAGAGCCTCTGGAAGAAAGAGTCCTACTCTTCACATCTCAAGAACCAATTGTTTCCTGTATAAATGTTGCCATTTAGGTACTATTTGTCTTAAGTGACACAGTCATGGTTTATCCTGTTTTTGTGTATTTAAACAATTTATCTCCAAACTTTCAAGTAGCTTTGTTTAAGAACAAAATTCTTAAAATGGGATAGACCATGATAATTATACTTTGGTGTTGCAGATCCTGTGAAGCCATCTGGCAGCTCCTTACAAGCACCAGCTGATTTACCTTTAGCTATAAATACAGCACCACCATCCACCCAAGTGGATTCATCCTCGGCTGTGCCACCTCCTCCATATCAGCTCATTAACCTTCCGCCACACCTGGAAACTCTTGGCATCCAGGAGGATCCTCAAGACTACCTCTTGCTAATCAACTGTCAAAGCAAGAAGCCTGAACCCACCAGGTAAATCGAATATGCCTGCGTGTGTGTGTATCTGTGTGTGTGTGTGTGTATATATGTACATTTAGGAATTTTACCTTTAAACTTTTTTAACCCAAATTTGGAAGCTTAAAAGAAACCATCTATATAGGCTTATATTTCAGGTTTATATTCCTCCACTAATGATTTCTGATATTCAGGAGATTTTATTGAAGAAAAGCATTGCCTACTGTCTTTGGCAAAGAACACTTGCACCTACAAGGCTCTTTTGGAATCTGTCTCCTGTTGCATAGTCTTTGTTACAGACTCACAGTGTTACTTGCTTAACAGATTTCACTGATTTATAAATGGTGATCTTGCTCCATTTCTTATGTGATTGTAAACCAGCCAAGGGTCATCTTTTGTTTCTGAAGAAGGAGAGGAATATCTACTCCTAGAAGATTTTGAAAGCAAAACGATTCCATTGCAGTGAGTGTGTTGTGGTTGCTTTGGATCTGTGTGATAAATTAATCATACAGGTAAAATCCCAGTATAGCAAATTCTATGGAACATACAAATTGGGTTTTAGTGAAATTTGATGAAATCAGATATATTGCTAAAAACCATGAAACTTTCGAATCTTCATACCTAGCTGTGAAGTAGAGCTCACCCCAAGGCCTGACTTGACAAATTTTTAAGTAGAAGGAAGTATATGGATGTTAGTGCTTCACCTGAAGTGTCATAAAAGCCTTTCCCAAGTCCTCAGTTTTCCTGTCGTCTCCATCTCTGCTCTCACACCCCTCTCTTCTAAGCTATAGGATATTTTAATTTGATCATTCTTGTCATTTGATGTTGGAAGGCTTGAGGTAACAGTGCGAGTTGGAGCCAGAAAATGCTGATCAGGAGGCCTCTCTCTGCCATTAACAGCTACATAACAAGAAGTGATTTGGGGTATATTTATTGTCTTAATTTGCAGTTTGAAAGTGGGAATGAATTGCATAGTAGATGTGAAAGATATTTTTTAAACAGGGTTATTAGATATTAAACATTTTTTATAACAAAAAAAGTGTTTTTTTTTTTTCATGTAGAAAGTGACTGTTACTGGGCTAGGATCATACAAAGCACTTGTTCAAAAATTTTTATATAGAATGTGTTAAGATCCACAAATTAGTTTCTGTGAACCATTCCCTGAGATGATGAAAACAACTCACAAACATTCCAAAGATGGGTTTCTGTATATTTGTTGTAATGGGATTTTACCTGTGAGAGCAAAGAAAATTTTATAAATCAACACTAGTTAATAATATCAAATTCTAACTTGATTTTGCTTGTTTGCTGTGAGTATTTAAAATTACACACTCGCAACTTTGTTACCCATGCTACTAACTTTTTATTTTACAACAATTCACAACTATTTTTCAGTATCAACTTTTTAAAAGCCGACAGCTAGGTGACAGTTTTCAGTACATTTTCTTTTTGTATAGTATTTTTCACTGATCTCAGTGGTATCACAGCTTTCCTGTGGTAGTAGAAATTATGCTCAAAATCATTGCTCAGATATTTTTGTGTGTCTATATTTTGCAAAAGTGACAGTTAAGTAAATATTTGTGAAGTACCCACTGTGTGCTCACTATTTTGCCAGTTGCTGTGAAGGTACAAACTAATTACATAAGATCCAGCCCCCGCAGATCTAGTCGCCTTCAGAGTTTACAAGTAAAGCTTGTGAGGAAGTCACAACATGCAAGCACTAAGTGTTTATAGATGAAGGCAAGATATGAGAACTACCTTGCAAACTCTTGTTCATCCTGCAAGACTCAGCTCAGACATGTACTCCTCTAGCAAACATTCCCCCCAAACTCCCAGCCTGGGTTAAATGCCTTTCTGGGTTTTCATAGCATCCTGGTTGTGCCTCCGTGTCTCTGTCTTATCGCAGAATTGGAAATAGCTTGATATTTTTATTTATTCTCCACTAAACTATAACATAGTCAAAGGCAGGGAACTTATTACTCGTACTTCTAGATTCTCTTAATATTGTTTGACTCATGAAGTGCAAATTTTAGAATATGTGTAGGTGCGTTAGAAATTCGGAGAAGGGACAGTGCAAGTGTTTTTAAGATGGAGGGTGAGATGCTTCATAGGAGGAGACACCTGATTGGTTAGAGAAAAGGAGACATCATTAGTAATTTGTATAAAAACAGCTTGAGGGAAGGGAGAGGTGAGAATGAGAGTGGTGAGAGGAAGAAAAAGAGGAGTAGAGGCTTCTCAGAGTAAAGGCTTTGCTTTGGAGACTAGTAGGACATAACATAGGACTTATAAGGTGGGGCCAGGTTATTAGTAGCCTCAATGCCAAGTGAAGTAGTTTGTGGGCTTTTTGTAGTTCCCACAGCCGTTTGAAAATGTGGGACTGAGAGTTTGGTGAGAAGATGGGAGTTGTCAGCATTCAGTGGAAGGTAAGGTTATGAGAAAGGAGGATTTTTTAATGGTGTGTGTGGCAAAGAATTGGAGGACTGAATTCTGTTGGCCATTCCCAGATGGAGAGGCAGGAAGAAGGAGCCAGTCAATGAAACAAGGAAATAATCCGTGAGGGAAAAGGAAAGTCAGGATATGGCAGTATGGGTTCTCTGATACGAGAGGGGGAAAGTTTCGATGAATAAATGTCATACACAGTGCCAGATGTTACTAATAAGTCAGGGAAGATAAGCCCTTAAAAAAAAACACCACAAGTTATTTTTTAAAATATTAAGTTCCTACAGGACTTTGGACAACCCACACGTAGTAGTTGAGATATCTTGTTTAGCATTAAGGAAGTGCAAGTATGCTGGTATCGTTAACTTCATTTTGGCGTATAGCCAAATTTTGTGTTACCACAAAATGCAGAGACTGAAAATGTACCCAAAGCGTAAAATAGACTCTAATGAGATTTCTCAAGGTTAATTGTTTGGAGTTGGCTTACTCTGTGGCTTGTATTTTGATCCTCTTTACAGTGTTGGCTAAATGTTTGTTAAAGAAAATTAGTAGAAAGCAAGATACACAAAACCTGTCAAATTGCCACCTCCTTATAGATCACACTGGATTTATTCAATACCAGGTAGTCATTGGACTTTTAGTTTTATGGAACAACCCATTTGCCACAGGTGGGCTTGAGAGCAATGGATCAATGTGATAAACTGTGTTGGCTCGAGGGTTTTGCATGCTCTTCAGAGGAAATGCTTTTCCTTGTGTCTATGCCTTAATCATTTACCTTTCTCAGAGTTGTGTACCCTTCTAATTCCAGTGCTTCAGGGATTGTGGTTTTATGTGTGGATTTAATAGGTGGAGTTGGGGGTGTGGGCAGGTACAGGACAGGAATTAGGGAGAATACTTTTGGTGGTTTTGTGGTGGCGGTTTTGTTGTCTGGTGTATAATCATAAAGACTAAGAAAGATTTGTGCTTTAAATCTTATGGATCACACAAAAAAATCTAATGAAAAAAGTCATGTGTTTTGATTGCTAAGCTATAAGTATATTTATTAAAATGTAGTCGTATGTCTTTACCATGTTTTATTTTCTGTCATTAACAATTTTTATTTAGAACACACGCTGATTCTGCAAAATCCACCTCTTCTGAAACAGACTGCAATGATAACGTCCCTTCTCATAAAAATCCTGCTTCCTCCCAGAGCAAACATGGAGTAAATGGCTTTTTTCAGCAGCAAATGATGTATGACTCCCCACCGCCTCGTGCTGCATCTGTTTCTGTAGACTCTAGCCTCTATAACCTGCCCAGGAGTTATTCCCACGATGTTTTGCCGAAGGTGTCTCCATCAAGTACCGAAGCAGATGGAGAACTGTATGTTTTTAATACCCCATCTGGGACATCGAGTGTAGAGACTCAAATGAGGCATGTATCTATTAGTTATGACATTCCTCCAACACCTGGTAATACTTATCAGATTCCACGAACATTTCCAGAAGGAACCTTGGGACAGACGTCAAAGCTAGACACTATTCCAGATATCCCTCCACCTCGGCCACCAAAACCACATCCGGCTCATGACCGATCTCCTGTGGAAACGTGTAGTGTCACACGCACGGCCTCAGACACTGACAGTAGTTACTGTATCCCCACAGCAGGGGTGCCACCGTCTCGTAGTAATACCATCTCCACTGTGGATCTGAACAAATTGCGAAAAGGTCAGCTCTAGTTGGCTCCTACTGTGTTAGAGGTTAATGATAGAAAATCTGTTTTTCTACATATTTGTTCTTTTAAACATACTATGATGTTAAATGAGAGTCCTTTTTTTCTTCAGCTCTGCGGTTACCTACTCATGTAGCGAAGATATCAGAGTCTCAGTAGATCCCTGGCTGGGTGTTTGTGCATGCAACGTGTGCCTGTATGCGTGTTCTGCTGGAAGGGAGAAAGAGTTGGAGTTTTCATACCTGAAGAAGTATGGCCTTAGTAATACCTTCCTGCCTCAGGAAGTGTGTACCCCTCTCTCCCACTTTCTATATATCCTGGGCGGGTAGACCCTCTGATAGGGCAGAGGAGCAGGAAATGGACCCAGCCACAAAGCCTCTCCGAGTCTTCCCTTTTCCTGTATATGTGCCATTATGGCCGCTTCTGTGTCCCATCTGTTGGGCTCCCTTTCCTTCCTTCTTAGATAAGCAATTTTTATGTTGTGTCTAACAGGTGATATTCAGTTCCAGTCAAGCCATTCTGCCTTTTTTTGCTTGGTTTTATTTCTTTTTAAAGCTCTGAATCTTCTCTCCCTTTATCCCTAACCACTTCACTTATTCCTGTACCATCCCGTATACACCCATACTAGAGCCCACCAAAAGTTACAGACCTTAAGAAGAGAAAAATTGAATCTGGTTTATACTCTTGAGATTCTTAAAGTCCAAAAAACACAAAGCCAAAGTTTAAAATGCACATACCCTAAAAACTGTGTGCTAACATTTCTGTATTTTGTGGTAGAGTTATCCATCTGTCTTAGAGAAGATAAAGAGTTAATGCTTCGTAAATAGTACTTTATCAATACTTATTAAGCCATTCAATACCAATTTCTAACTCCCTTCTTGAAGTGGCTGTATAATCTGGTTATAAGTTACTGAGATATAAGTTAGGCCCAAGGTGATGCAAAACATGAGAAAATAGAAGTATTTCTTTTCTCTGTCTTTAGATAATTTATCTCATCCCAGGCTTAGACGTTCACTCATTGTCATAATCAGTTATTGGTACTTGTTAGCATATGAGTGAGTGTCTGCATTTTCTAGTGGTTTAATGTGCCAATTCAAGATATTATTCTGTGAGCATCCTTTTTGAAATCTGTGTGTGTGCATGCGTACCTGCGTGCATGTGTGTAAAGAGAGAGAGAGGATAGGTCAATCCTGATTACCCTGAGAACTGGCAAAGATGGGAAGAAATGTTGATAGTTTGTTCTCTATTTTAGATGCTAGTTCCCAAGACTGCTATGATATTCCACGAACATTTCCAAGTGATAGATCTAGTTCACTTGAAGGCTTCCATAACCACTTTGTAAGTATAATTGACCTTGGTATCATCGAGTGTATTTCATTGTCAAAATCTTCCCACTTAGTGCCCTGAGACTAAATGAGGTCATGAAATAAAAGTCCCTTCAGATCCATATGAATAGGTGTGACTTACAATTGTGTTTTCCTGTTTGACAATAGTTTTGTTTATTAAAAGAAATGTATGTGTGTTTTAGAAAATCAAAAATGTATTGACAGTGGGAAGTGTATCAAGTGAAGAACTGGATGAAAATTATGTCCCAATGAATCCCAACTCTCCGCCACGACAACATTCCAGCAGTTTTACGGAACCAATTCAGGAAGCAAATTATGTGCCAATGACTCCAGGGACGTTTGATTTTTCTTCATTTGGAATGCAAGTTCCTCCTCCTGCTCACATGGGCTTCAGGTCCAGCCCAAAGACCCCTCCCAGAAGGCCAGTTCCTGTTGCAGACTGTGAACCACCCCCCGTGGATAGGAACCTCAAGCCAGACAGAAAAGGTAAGGAGGGCCTGGCATAGCAAAAGAGTCACGGGTTGCCAGTTTAGATCTGCCTTGAACTGTCATTAAATCCAAAACAGAATTGGGACTAGAAATTCTTAAGTATTTCATATTACCTTAGTTATCAACTTCTTTAAGTAAAGCAGTATTGCTATTTATAGATTAATACTTATTATATGTTGATGCCCAGGTGAGACTTTTAAGTCTCCTTTCTCTAGAGCAGAGGTTACAAACTGAAATACTCAAAAGGATTGGCAGGCAACCGGAGAGAATTAGAAGAAACTGGAATGCCTTTGCCCCATCTAAATGGAGTAACTAACTGCTTCTTGGCTACAATCCTTTGTTGACTTGTGAAAATGATATAGGCCTGTACAGGCAAACCTTCTGTTGTGTCGAGAGAAGCCAGAAATTTCAGGGTTTTTATGTATTATCTTTTGATTTTTAAGTTCTGTCAGATAATTTAATTATTTAAAAAAAAATATTGCAGACCAAACCAAACACTTCTACAAGCTGGATGTGGTCTTTGGCAGCTATTTGTAACCTCTTCTCCAGAGTTTATAATATCAAATCAGACTTGAGATTATTAATGCACTTGACATAATTCTTGAAGGATATTGAGGTTGCTTGTGTAATCTTTCCATTCTGTCCATATAACAACTTCTTAAAGATGCTTCCGCCTTTGCTGGGGTATAAATAAATGCTTCTAGTCTATTCTTTCACACTGGCCTTCATAAGTAACATTAAATTCTAAGGTAACATGATTTGTTAGGAACTCCGTGTGAAAGAAACTTTTCAGCCCAATTGGCAATATGTACCCAAGTTTTTAAAATTTGGGTTTGAGTGGTTAAAACCCAGATAACTAGCTGTGTTGTAGCCTGCTGTTAGTGTGATTTCATCTTCACAACCAAATAAGTTAGTATATTGGCTGTGCGATGGGCAGCACAATTTCTGGGGAATTCAGCACATTTGAAAAGTCTCGTGCTGTGTATAGCTTTTTAAGAGCATGTAAATTTCTCATCAACCTGGGCTTGGATCATTAATATTCATTCTAATTAAGTTCCAGCTGGGAGGAACAGAGACTGAGACTTACAATATCTTAAGAAAATGAGTTTTGTTTTGTTTTGCTTTTAAGTAATGATACCCTCGCGCTGAAATGAGAAAGTTGTGTGGAACTGAGGCACACTGTGGGGACTGTCACTTTGTCCTGCTCTCTCTGCATTTCTGTCCTAAGGGAAGTCTTTGCATCTGCTTGGTTCTCTCTCATGTTCTTTTCTTCTTCTCTGTTTTTTTCTACTGTGTATCCTCTACTTTATGTGGTTTCTGCTTTCTGAGAGCTTTGGCCCACAACGCCCCTCTGTGGCCTTGATTCTGCCTTGTGGCTCCTTTTTATGTGCCCTTGCAGCTTCCAGATCTTCGGCTAATCTCCTTGTTCATTATTTACTCACTTCAGGTTGTGCAGAGAGAATTTGATTGGTCTCATTTGTCTTTTCGCACCAGGCCACATGATAGACTGTAGGCCAGCCCATAGATTGGCTGCTGTTGGTTCAAGTGCCCACCTTGGTCCGACAGCTGGAAAGGTCCTCATGTGTAACACCCACGGCCACCCAGACAGTGCAGGCAGCAGAGCCATAATCAGGGATGGTTGTCTTAGAAAGGGTGTGAGTGTCACAGGCTTTTTATTTGGTAACTTTTCCTTTTGATTCTCCTTGTCCTCATTTGTCTTTAAATCTATTTAGCCGTTATTAGTCATTTTCTTCTTTGCGTGCAATATGCAAAAGTACATTTGGACATGTATAGATTTATAATTGAGTTCACATATCGCTGAAGGATTGAGATACAAGTGCTGTGAACTGTTTGAAATATTGAAATATTCATTTTAATGCTAAACTGGTTCTTTCCTTATTTTCCTGTAATTAGTGCATGTTAGCAGCAAATCTCTACTTTTTAACCCTATACATAACAGTTTCATATCTTGAGGGCCCACGTAAAAGTGGAGGTGATGTAGTTTGGGTAAGCGTACAAAACTGAGTCCTGCCTGCTTTGTTCTCCTGCCTGCTCCTTCCTCCCCCCTCAGGCTCTGCAGAACAGTTTGAAAATTCCCAGTATATTTCACAGTTAATGATTCCACATGGTAAGCGTAATGCAGAATCAGAAAAGATCCCTATTTATATGTTGAAAAGTTTTAAGATCATAATGATATGCTTTTATCATCTATGTCTGACAGAGCTCATGTACCTCATATTATGTTATATATTATTTTATGTTTGTATCCTAATACATGGCATGTATAGTATATATACTATATATTACATGTATGTATAATTATCCCTCCCTCTGTATATAGTGAAAGTACTATATATTCTAGTACATGACAGATTAATTGTCCTAGTCCCCTAAACCAACCTACAGTGACTTTACAGTAGAACAGAACAAAGTAGGTTCTTGGTTACTTCTGGAGGTTGTGTTCAGTCTTTTAAAAATTAACTGAACTGTTGAGAGACAATCCTGAGCTCATTGGCCAGATAATTTATTTGATATCTTTGCTTAAATACAAAATGAAAGCACCCAGAATAAAATACCCATATAGTTTTTGGCAAAATCAAGGAGAATAGTTAGCAAAACAGTAAAGAGGTTACTAAAATCATGGTAATAAAAAAAGATTTTTGCTTTTCTTTAGTACTATTCTGCTTTTTAAATAAGTATGATACAAGAGAGGAGGCATGAGAAAGTATTTAATGTTGCAGGACAAACTTTGCCAACTCACTTGTAACTATTCAAGAAACACACATTTTAAAACCCAAATTCAGATCTTGGAGCAAAGTTTAAGAAAGACTTAAACTGTAAAACAAATGTCTTATTTGGTCATGAAATTCTTCTTACTGTATATAGCATCAGATGAGTCGATTTTAATTTCAAATTTTGTGACGTCAGATACGTGACTCCATTTATTATTCTAGTATTTCTTATCAACTAAACTTCATAATAAGCAAACCTAATTCTATCAAATATGACTTGATTAGTTTCAAAGCCCAGTATAACTAGTTCAACACCCAGTATAACTGGTTTCCGTGGTTGTCGTCTTTGGAAGGATCTATAATAAATGAGTAACATTCTAGTCTTGTTTATACCCCCAATTATAGATGTCAGCTGCTGTAGTTAGTAGTACAGATGAGTTTTTCAAATACTTCTGAGTAATTGAAGCTGCAGAAATACATAGATGTTCTAAACACTTAGGTTTAATGCATTTTCATGGACCCTTTGCCCATCACCCAACTTGTGGTAGCTCTATTTTCACCCATACTATTTCCGTCACCATAGTATTGTTTTGAACCAAGTTTTGTGTATATTAATAGAGAAGAAAAACATAATTTACGTGTATTGTATTAAATATTAGGAAAGCAGATGAGTCATTGGAAATGCAGGACAAATTATGTTTTGATTGCTTTAATTTTAACTTTTATATTTTAATGGAAAAGAAATCTTATAAAGTATGGGAAATTTTGATAAGATATCTGTTGTGGCTTCTCTTAAAGTAAGTCGTTACATAAATCCACCATATTTAATCACTGCCCTTACCTAGGCCCCCACCCCCATCCAGTCTCCTTCTAACATGATGTGGCAGCTGTTGGAGCCTCCAATGCTGTCTTTATATTTTGTTTTGTTTGGCTTTGTCCATTTATGGCTTTCTGCAGTAGTTCTGACCATTAGTTATTGTATTGATTTTGAAAAAGCAGTGCAAGGTTACCTCCGACGTTTTCGTACATTTGTTTGGTTCAAGCATCTTCAGGTCCGGTCTTCACTTTGGTGTGGGAAGCATCCAGAAGGCCAATTCTGAGGAGCTTCCCTAGGTGGGTCTTTTTTGGCACAGTGATACATTTGCTCTAAACATTTTTTTCAGGAGAGCTTCTAAAGAAGTGTTTGAATGTGTTTAAAAATTAACATGCTTTTCAAAAACTACTTTTATACTGTAATAAATGTTTGGAATATGGATGAATGATACCAGTAAATATAACTGGATTTTAATAAACAAGTATTAAAGTTTGAACCTCAAGTCAGATTTTTGATTCAATGTTAGTTTAAAGGAAGCGAGCATGGAGTGCATTTTTGTGGCATAGCCTTTACATGCAGGATTTTTTTCCCTAAATATTCTTGACCTTCCAAAATAATCATCGTTATTCTATTCCTCTTTATACAATGAGACCTTAAAACAAGCATAAAAATTTTTCGGTATGCTATCTGGATTATGTTTTGGAATTAGCAGAGGATAATAATGTTGTGCATTATTCTTTTTCTTTCTTGATTTTTGAGATGCCTCCTGGAAATAGTAGCATAATCTTTAAAACTTTGGAAGAGTAAGTAATTTAGGCAAAGTTAAACCTGTAATAATACAGAAAATAAATTTTCCACTCTGAGTTGAATTTATGTAAGCAGTACCTATTGAAATAATACTTAATAGTGTATGGACTTTTCAAAGAGGATTGCATCTGCTTATTTGAAACATGCCCTTGTGTGACTGTATTGACCATGAGATGATGGGCTTTTGAAACAAGATTCAGTTCCCTCTTAAAGAGGGAACAAGATTCAGTTTCCTCTTAAAGAACAAAAAAATATGCCATTGATCCAGTTAAACACCACCAGCTTTAAGGGAACTGCAGTTCATCAACACAGATTTAAGTGCCTACCGGTGGTAGGATATCCCCTCTGCTAGGTCTTGGGTCTCCAGACACAAGGAAGAAAAGGTGGCTTCCCTGAAGAAGCTCACAGTCCAGGGGAGGAGGTAGAAAAGTAAACACATTATCATAATTAGCATGGAATTGGCTGTGGTTGAGGTAAGCTCTTGGCACTATGAGCTAAACTCCCCTGAGGAGAGTCTTAAGAGGGTGAGTGGCAATTACATGATGGTAGAGGAGGGGAGGATGGCAGAGGATCTAGTCAGAATAAACAGCGTACCCAGATCCTTTAAAAAGAGGAGATGGCTCAGAGTTGTGAGTGGGAAGGAAGGAATGAGGAAAGGAAGGAGGGAGGAAAGTATGAATGGAGGAACAATGCCAAATGCCTTGCAGGGCCTGACCCTGAGGGCATTATAATCCACGCTAATGAGTTTGGGCTTTATTCTGAGTACACTTTTTAAGGGTTTTATGCAAGCCACTGACAATCAGGTTGGCCTCTAGAAAGCTCTTTCTAAGATTTAAGGATATGATAGAAAAAACAATTGTATTCTTTAGTGTAAAATGTTAAAAATCAAACCTTTTTCAGCATCTTACTGAGAGAGTGCCTTGCCCTGTTCTCCAAATCCAGAATTCTTGAAGCCTTGGTTTAGAGGTGATCAAACGGGAAAGGCATAACCAAAGTCCCTTACCTGGCTCTCAGTTGTTCCCTCAGCTTGGGGACTTACAGTGATTTTTAGAAGTTTTGAGGGCCCTTGGAGCACAGGTGGAGGTCATTTAGCCATACAGTGTGAGTTCATCACTCTCAAAAAAAGAAACCAGGTAAGTGACATTCACATTAAAAAAGGAAGGAGGGAAGGACTTCAGGCTTGCAGATTTTTTATTTTCTTGGGTGAATGAAAACAAACTATTATATTGTCATTATAAATATAAAGAAAAATTATATAGGGAGATTAGAGAGAAAGTAGAATCTAGAATAATTTCGGAGATCTACTATGGCAACTGGTAATATAGGAAACGAAGCGGGTGGGTCAAAGAGGGTGAATTCTATTTTGAACATGTCGTGTGAACACCTGCAGGGCATCCATGTGGGGTGATTTTGTAGACTGTAGATTAGGGTTTGAGGGGAGAGATCTGAACCAGAGATTAAGATTTACCAAATTGTGCTCCAGATTAGGGAGCAGATCACATGATCCAGAGATTGACAATCCTGGGTGAGATTGTTTTAATGCATAAAGGTTAAAGCACAATAGGAGTTTCACCAATAGTCCGAGCTCCTTGCTAAATGAAATAATGTTACTTTCTAGCCTAGCTAAAACAAGTTGTAACTACCTTGGATTTAAAAGTTGAGGCTCAGATGAGTTAGTTCGTTTACTCTCAGAATTTGAGAATCAGTCTGTCTCTAGAATTGGTTCATTTTTGCCTTTTACTTTGGTATTCTTAGTTCTTCCTCTTTATTTTCACACTTTTCTTCAACAGCTCAAATGAGTTAGTTCATTTACTCTCAGAATTTGAGAATCAGTCTGTCTCTAGAATTGGTTCATTTTTGCCTTTTACTTTGGTATTCTTATTTCTTGCTCTTTATTTTCACACTTTTCTTCAACAGTCAGAAAAACGTTCGTTCAAGTATTTGCCTACAGGCAGTAGAGGAGAAGACAGGGCTCAGACAAGGGTGCTTACACCTTGCACTTCTTTTTCACCTTTCTCTCCTCTTAAGTAATACTGAGCTGTCATTTGGGTATGACTTTCATTTCTGTCTGGAACATAAATGTCGAATTGAATTTGAAAGGATATAAAGAAATAAAGCTAACAAAATGACCGAGTGACTCAGTACAATTCGGTGCAACATTTCCACGTTACAACTTTAAATCAACCTAAGGGCCAGCGCTGTGGCTTGGTGGTTAAGTGCGCGCGCTGCAATGCTGGTGGCCCGGGTTCGGATCCCGGGTGCGCATTGAGGCACCACTTCTCCGTCCATCCTGAGGCCGAGTCCCACATACAGCAACTAGAAGGATGTGCAGCTATGACATACAACTATCTACTGGGGCTTTGGGGG